TTTGCAGACCTACAGAAAGCCCTTTCATCGTATTGTCCTTACAAAAAAGAATAGAATCTGTATTCAGGGCGTCGATGTAAAAAATGCGTGTTTTGGAGGGACTCAGGCCGTATTCCATGCTATTGATTGGGTATACGCAAACTACTCAATGGAAAAGCGGAACGCCATCGCCGTTCTTGCTGATATAGCCGTATATGAACCTGGTCCTGCGAGGTCCACAGGAGGTACAATTCAATGAGTGTGGATTGCAAGGAGAAAAAACGGTCCGCTTTTTGTAGCGCGAAACTTTTTCGCTGTGTGGGTCCCGGGTCACCCTTGATCATGAATGGGGCTGGCGTTCCCGCAACGAAAAGTTACGCGCTGTTAAACTCGGAAAAATCGTTCTCTGCCCTAGCGACTGCCACCTCAACTTATTTTTTTAGCTTGCATGCAAATATTGAATCAAATGGGCATTACTACAGAAATTAAGGCCTATGTGAAATTTTAATTCGTGCCCTACATTCATCATCAGAGTGGAATTTGAATTTCTTTTGATATGCAAGAACCTAGTGGAAGCGGTGGTGTACAAGTCAGATTGGCCTGGTACCTTCCGGAGGATTCCGGAGGAAGGCTTGGGCAGAATCCGATCCGAAATCCTCTCCCCTCTACCACGCGCATAGTAATTGAACACCCTTCAGCCAATAGAATAATGTAAGTAAGCAAAGTCAAAAATAGTGTTTAACCAGTCCTATCGCCGGTTGTGCTCTGCTCGGGCTCTACTCCTTTTTGTAAGTTATGTTGTGATGCCTGCTGGCGCAGGCCATTCCTCCCACCAGTACACTGTGCAGTTCCCCTCAATCTGTACCATCAACCCTCTTATTTGAATCAAGTTTTGCACCTTACCTTCTCTATATATATTCAGAACCGAGGAGTTTTCTATGAGCTTCAGAAGTGATCGTGATCTCTCTGATTGGTAGACGTACTGTCACCTACTTTATCCATGTTTACTTGCCATCAATCCCCACCTTCAGACATGCACAACAACTTTACACAAAAAACGGGTAATGATAGCAAGTAAACATAGAGCATGTAGGAAACAGTACCTGTGCTAAGTTTGAGAAACTCACAACTACTACTTTGAAAGTTATAGTAAACTCCACTTCTGAAAATAGGTAGAGAAGGCAGGTGCAAATATTTGTAGTTTCAAGTGTGCGCTGCAAAATAATCATTTGGGAAGGTCTGAAGTACTTGTTTTGGGGGTACTGCACAAAGTATTCTTTTGGGAGGAATGCCCGGCTTCTGGAGGGCATCCCGACTCACAAAAAGCAGTAGAGCGCAGCATAGCCGGCGATACGACTGTCGACGAATACGTCAAGAACATACTTTGCTAGCTTCCATAGACCTCGCCACATTCAAGAAAGAAGTTCAGGATTTGATAAGAATCCCGCATAAGTTCCTCCACCTTCTGAGACTCCGCTCACTATCGCACCCACTCGTGATCAAGCCTGGCCACTGCCGTACCCTAGTGGCACTTTTGCACAGATGCGCGATCGCGCCTCAATTGAAGGAGGAATTCACGATAAGAACAAAGGTCAAAGAAGGGGAAAATTGCATAGTTGGGAGACAGGCGGACCTCCTGAGGGTGCTGACCGACGCGCAATTGGCAGCGAAAGATTTGACCTCGGCGATCTAGCATGGCTCACTCTTGGCGCGGTTGGCGGGGTACGCCCACCGACTATCTAATCACTCGCCGCAGGTCTATACGTGGCGAGTGATTAGATAGCAGAGAGAGCGTAGTGTTGAAGAGGGCACAGCGATGAGAGTCGCATCAATGCGCAAATCAACGGGCAAGGAAGGGGTCCCATTTCTCGGGTTTCGGGCCGTTTCAAATGGTTTCTTCTTCATCCCTGCTCCACTGACCACCTCTACCCTTATTTCCAATGAGCTAACTTTTCATCGTGGAATTCTGCCTTAAGGCAATAAAAAATTTTCCAATTGGTGGTTAGTGAAGAGCACTGTTAAGGCAATTTTAGTTTGATTCCTGCTCAGGGGTGGGGGTGTTCCTTCCACATTTAGAACGGATTAATCACATTTTGCCGAATTCAAACCGAATGCTCCCGACCAAAAATTGAAAAACACGTCCCAGTCCACCAGAAACCTTCGTAGTAGTCTCTGCACGGACGACATCAAAAGAATTTCCACGCGTGTGATGCACAGTTCGAGCACATTGAAGTCTTCACAGATCGTGGGAATGCGGCATTGTTTGAAACTCTGGTTGTGAAGACTTGCCTAGTCAGCTTGCCTCTAGAAAACTGTCCTAAAAATCCACCGACTCAAAGAAGAGCAGATACGGTGGGATTGCATGAACTCGATAGCGCTGTGCGAAGTCGTATTCTGGTAGGTCAGGGCATTGAAGCAACAGTCCCAGCAGGGTTTTACCTTCGACACTAATGGTGTGGAACGATGCGCTAGCCCTAGTCAAGAACATAAAAGTGTGACTGAACAAAAAACTCACCTTAGAAAGCCGCTAGAAAGGGACAGCTCCGAAGTGGGCGTGGTTAACAATCGGCTGCAATCCCTTCAGCCGATTGATAATTCGATTCAGTGGCTGTGAGCCCAGAAGGACGTCATTTATTATAGAGGGCCTTATTGCAATAATGACCACGTTGGACTGACCCTTATCACAATTTGTTGGTGGTAGCTGTCCCCCCCTCCCCCGTCTTGCCCCAACTGACACTGCAGCGTCATGTGAAAAGGTGGGAAGTGTGCTCAGTAAGCGTTCATATAAAAATGGAGGGTCATGTCACAATCATAACATTTCGTTCAAATGTTACCCCAGCAGTAACTTGAACCTTGGGTTTGTAGGCGATTGCCTCACTCCCTTCTCTCATCCCCCTCCCCCCCCGCCAACTCCCTGCCCTTCGGCTGCCTCTGCAGCACCCACAGCACCCAGAAGTGGCCGAGAGCGTGCTAAAGTCTCGAAGTAACTGATTGTTATCTCATCATGTTAGAAAGCGTTGTATCGCAAGACCTGCCAACTTTCATTTTGCTAATGGTTTTTTGTTCCATCAGCTGCCTCATCGTTTCATTTGCGGACGGGCAGGCGCACATCGACGCACACAGACACACATCCTGACAATGCGACACCCCAAGTTAGAGGCTTATACATATAAGAGAATGTAATTGAGCTCGGGATGCTTTGTCGCTCGTCTTGTATTCAATTTAATACGTCAGTACAAAGTTTGAGTCGCGTCAGTTTGACATTGCTTGTTTCAGGAGCGGGAGCTATTGCAGTACTTATTACACCGGATGCTCCTATTGCATTCGACCGTGGACTCCGGGCGACGTACATGGCGAGCTCGTGGGATTTTTACAAGCCAATCGGTTATTTTTGCAAATTCTCACGTGGTACCGATTTTTTCGTCTTTAGCTCACTCAAAGGTGTTAAGGTAAAACTTGCACCGAATATCCTATTGTCGATGGTCCTGTGAGTTTGCAGTCGTATATGAACGCTTTGGATAGCTGTTATGTCCGTTACAAAGAAAAAGCCATGAAGATATATGGAGAAGGTTAGCTGAAATCATTTCCGTAATGATTATATTTTGTTTTCGGTATGTCCTCATAAAAAATCAGAGCAATAAAGTATGATTTTCAAAGCTAGAAATGTGACTAGCACAACTAGTTTCTTGGGATTTTTCAGGATTCCGTTATGCAGTTTCACAAACTTTTAGTTAATGTAACCGGATATATTCAAGGCAACATATTGCACCCTTGATTGCGATCTTCTAACGCCGTACAGCTCTTACTGACCTTGTTCATTTACTGTATTTGAAATGACATAACAGGTTCCTTAGACAAACGAGGTAGATGAAGCGAAGAACACTAGAAAAAGATAGAAAAAGTCAATTAAGAGGATCAGTTTGTTTCTGCGGTTTGAAATTTCTACAGACTTTCTTCTTCATGCTTAGAGGAAACCTGTTGAACAACAGTGGCCCAGCGCTGACTCTTCATCGTTTGCCCCTGAACAGAAGGCGAAAATGGCTCCAAAGTGCGCATCCATTTTCGTCACATCTACATCCTTTGATAATTCAGATATTTCTCTTTCGTCATTCTCGGCAGCTATGTTTCATTCGCCGTTCACTCGCATGGTACAGAAGGCAGTAGCGCGTCTTACTTACAGGTGCATCTCATAGCTTTTATAGCTGTCATCGCTCTTATAGCCAAATCGCTTTTCAGGGACTACGAGAATGGAAAAGGAGAGTACGGCAGCTCCTACTCAAAGCTTGGGTGAGCTACCATTTCAATCGGAATAGATGTTTTCAGAGTTTCTTACCTTCATATTCGCGTATCGAAATACTCCTCGCAGCCTGAACCTTGATCTGACGTGATTCTTGATTTAGGGTATTATCTCAGTCGTCGTTCGAAGACCGAGAAGTGATGCGTTCTCTACTATCCGGGTCGGAACCGTTGTGGCAACAAAAAACAAATCCATTTCTTGTGTTGAATCGACGAATAGGTAACATGTACACGCCGTCACTCTTTGCGCAATTGGTGGCTTATTTAGCTTCTGGGTAGGTTGTTCCTGATTCGTTAATCTTTTCTGGAATGTAGATTACTCTTTTCGATGCTGCTGTGAAATTTTTTTAGTGGTAGTTGTCACAGTTGCTCTTTCGAGCGCTGAAAACAATAGCACAGGGTGGCTACTAAATATTGGCGCATGGTTTATTGACCATATTTTTGCAAAGAGAAACTATTACATATTCAGAAGTTTATTTTTATATACAGTAAAACATATCATGCATCACTGAAGAAGGTGCTCGAAATGGCCTCCTCGGCAGTGATACAGGCTTCAAGTCTCTTCTCAACTGACATCACCGTGGGCCGCAAGTAAGTGACGTCAACGTGACGCGAGAAGATCTTCACACTGGAATTGGCGCACAATTCTCAAAAGGACAGGCAATTGTTGGATCCGGCTAGCAGACATTCTGCTCGACGTCGTGCGCACACAAGGAGCCGATTTCCAAAATCTGTCATGATTTAGGCAGGAATTACTTCCGACACCGAGACACCGCTTGTCTTTGTGGACAAATCCGTCAAAATTAACGCCCAGATCTACCAGGAAACAATTTTACGTGATGTGCTCCTTCCATGGACTGTTTCGACCTCCAGCAAATGTCAGTGCCTTCTTCAGCAAGACTAGGCGCCTCCCATGCCGCAAAATCTACGCTGGTGTTCTGTGACCGCCATTTTCCAGGTTACTGGTCACAGATGTTTGGCCATCTAACTCACCCGATTGAACCCAATGGATTTTGCGGTGTGGGGCTTCCTGCAGCAGAAGATGCCTTCTAGGCAACATCGAAGTTTGGACTTCCTGAAGGCTTCCTAGGAGGAAGCGTTGAAGTAACTCGACGAAAACTGCTTGCGGCCCACGGTGATGTCAGTTGAGAAGAGACTTGAAGCCTGTATCGCCGCCGGAGGACTTCTTTCCGAGCATCTTCTTAGTAATGAATTGTTATGTTTACTGTATATAAAGATAAACCTCTGAAGATTTAATAGATTCTCTTTTTGGAAATATGGTCAATTAACCATGCGCCAATATTTAGTAGCCACCCTGTATGTATACCTATGCTTAGAAGTGACTTACATGAAATAGATCCACCTCTGTAAATAATGGTTTTTCAGAGCTTTTGATGACCTATGTCGAATATTGTTTTTTGCATACGGTAGTGGATCAGCATCAGCAATGTTTTCCGCAAAGATCTGTGATCGGACAGACAATCGTCTAAGTCGAATGCAAGCCGTTTGTCATAACGCGGTACGTTTTGTTTCCGAATTTCGACTTTTAAACCCACGTGGTAGGAAGCGATACATTCCTTCCTTATTTTCTTTTTTTTATATTTACGTGCTTCTTCTCCGTAGCATGGACGTTCATTGTTTAAGAATTTATCAACGTTTCTTTTCTCGACAAGATTCATGAGAGGGTAAAAGTTTTACCTTCTATTCCTAGACTAACCATTAGGACTATTTGGGCATTGCGGTACGGTTACTTGTCTCATACAGGGGTGGCCAAAAAAAAGAGACACTTTGCCCATGGCGCACATCATCGAACTTTTCGTCGCACAGGGTGCCGATGTTAATGAAAGTTTTACGGCGAAATATTCCTTAGGTGTTCCCCCGTAAACAGAAGCACTGCCCCCGCCGTCTTCAGAATATGACGTCATCTGCCGCCACCGTCGAGCTCAACGAGGCTTACCGTAATCGCTCCGGCCTGAAGCTGCTACATAATTTCTTCAATGGATTAACTGTGAATAGCTTCCCAGAGACATTAGCTGTGACTATGCAAAACCGCTTTTGACCAGCGTTTCAGGGACGTCGTAATGGTCTATGGTACCTCGACGACCTCGTTGAGCTCGTACCGTGAACCATGTTTCCGTGGGAAAATCTTCTGATGTCGTCGGTGTAGAAGGCTGTCATGTAACTTTAGATAGATTAGAATGTGCTCTTCAATACTGAGTTGGGGCAGTCGATTTGATTTTAGCAAAGTGTGATTAATGCTGTCTGAAATGTGGAGTCAAGTGTCTCTTTTTTTTGGCCACCCCTGTATATTGTGGAAGCAATCATTTCTTCTTTTCTAGATTTCACGATTGGACGAAAGACTAGAATGCACACCGGAAATATATTCGGAAGCGATGAAAATGCGCGAGATTTTCCTTGCTTCTGAGGGTACGTTTCTCTTCCATGTTGTTTTTTTTTCTAAATTCTCCCTAGAACAAATCAGTGTATTGTTGAGTCGGGCGTGAGTATTTCTCTACTGTCATTTGTTTCCCTTATATTAGACGTTAGGAAAGTAATGCGAGTTTCGAGATGTCTTGCCTGTTGAGTATATTTTGGAGAGAAATTCCCGGTGAGGTCTGCAGTGCTATATATCATGAACAAGCTTATTATATTTTCTTCCCCTACTATTTATGAATTTGTATATGAGTTGCTCTCTTGGTTACTTTCAAATTTACCTACACATCCGCTGACTGCTATTTTTTTCGTATTTTTATGACGTTGTCTAGCTTCCTGGGGTTGAGTTGGGCCTAGCTTCCATACAGATTCTGCGTCTATACATGGTGATGAATTTTGCGATGCTTCGTCTCAGTGCATAACCATGTAACTCGTTATTGGTTGAAATTGATAGCAGGGATGCCCATTTTGCACTTCTTTTTACGTAGTGTATGAATTTGCGACGGATTGCAACTAGGAGTGCTTCAGACCAAGCCGCAGCCCAACTAGAACCTAACTCAGCTTTCACCTTGGTTCGGCTCGGTTAAATTTGGAGGTCTCCACCGGCAAACGAAGATCCTTCTCATTAAGTGATGAGGGAAGTTCCCGATAATCCACTGAGACGGCCCTAGAACCTGTTATTCAGTTGGCGCGCTTCATTGTGTGATTGGGTACAATTTGAAATATCGGAAGGCCAGAACAGAAGCGGGATCGAATTTTGTGATTCGTGCGAGGGGGTTCATCTTTGGCTATTAAGGTCATGTTCTTGAGAAAACTGGGTAGAAGATCTTTTCCGGTTGTGGAAAGAATCTGTGTTTCCTCTTCTTGATAGCTTCCATGATTACCGTAACCTCGCACACCAACTTTTTGCCACATTGTGATTTGATTTGTGACACTGTGGTTTATTCACGCTAAGGCTGCTTGTCTCACCAGCGCTCAAATAAGGTCTTTACTTTCGCCTTAGGCAACTTTTGAAGCTGTGCTTGCAGCTCTTCCTCGCCCATCTACACTCTAAGGTTGGTGTCAGACTCTGCGATCCGTCGCAGGTTTCGCTGATTTTGCGATTTTCGCGATTCACGCGATTTGCGCGAAACCTGCGACGGATCGCAAAAATTGCAAGTGCCCCATTTGAACATTTGAAACACTGAATATGAAACAAGTGGAATCATGAGCAGTCGTCATTCAGCCATCACTATCAAGCAGAAGTGGCGGCAGGATTGGAGAACACCTTGCAGTATTGATCGGGCACTTGTGATTTCCGTGACCCGTCGCGTGAATCGCGCAAATCGCGAAAATCAAAATCGCGAAAATCGCGTGAATCGCGCAAATCGCGAAAATCAGCGAAACCTGCGACGGATCGCGGATTCGGACACCAGCCTAACGGTAGCTGTCGAATTACAAGAAGTAACGAACGTGCACCGGCTGGTCTTTCTTCTTTTTGCTTTGTTCGTTCTTGGCTACTTCTCGTTCAAGTGGTAAGAGAGCTTTCTCAGAGGCATAGCGATCTCTTCAAATTCTTCCTTTCATCTCAGCTCGTTTATCCGAGCACCATATTCTGACATCCAAGTCTTCCTCCAACATCCATGTAATCTTCAAAGAAGATTTTGTCTTCTTTCCTCTCTTTCTGTAAATGGCATACGCTCTCGTCAGGCCCGCCAGGGAGCACTCAGGTCTTTGGAGGTAGTGCACGCATTTCTTTGTGAAGACACCTCACACTGTCTATTTGGGCACGTCATTTTTGTATCCATTAAGTGTGATTCCTAACTAAGGGCTACCGATCCCTTGTGGAACAAAAATTTCGATATAAACATGCTGTATATCAGTTCTGTGTGGAACAAGGAAGCGGTGGTTGGTTAAGTAACAAAAAGCCATGCACGACATCTCAGTGAACTCTGTAAACACAAATTCAACAGTTTTCTTTTTTTTAAGTGTCATCTGTACCAGTAATGAAAGAATTGGATCAAAAATGGTGTTTTAATTAATATCATCATTTTCAAGTGCCCGTAACTCCTAAGGCTAATGGAACTGGACCATCGTCGACGTCTCTTTTTCCTGGAACTTACTATTTGAAATCACTGGATGAAAAGTACCGTCGATCATACGAGGTTTTGCCATACCGTGCTGTATCGGAAAATCACGAAAATGGTATCACGAATGGAATACAAGGAGAAGGAGATTCATAGTGGAAGATCTTTCAAATTTCACGTAAAAATAGCTATGATATTCCATTTAAGCAATTTCTCGAATGTCCTACTAGATAACTCCTTCCGCCTATTTCAATGTTTTTGTCTCAGAGGTTCAATTTTGAAGTCCTTGTCGCCTTTTTGTCCTATTTCGTTGCATTTGCTCCCTATCGTAGTTTATTAGAGTTCATAGATTTTTTATAGACAACTCTTATAAAATAATTATAAAATACATATGCTCATAAGCTTGTATGTTGTTCAGTTTGTAAGTGAGAATGTTGTTCATTTTGTGCTACGCCTCACTACCAATGCATAAGCATATCATTGCTCGGCGCAAGCTCACTGTTTGAGTCTCTTTTTTCCAAGCCGTGGATAGTCAAGAAATGTGTTTTGTTTTTGCCATTGTTACATGTTTTTCGTTGATTTTTTTGGGCGAATGTGCCTTCTGTATGTTGTTGTTTTTAGTGTTTGAGATGAGCTTATAGCTTTGTTGTATACGACTTATTGTTTTATATTGTGATTGAAGCAACTATAGCTTACAGAAAATATCTTTGATCCGTGTTCTGGTTCTGTATGTCATAGGTCGTTACAGTCCTATCATATTACTTTTGTAATTACATTTTTTCTTAAACTAGCATTCAAAAATTCTCAAGGATTGACATCATCGGCCCTTCCATTCTTTGTGAGAGCCAGTTGCTTATCTTTAAATCATAGAAAAAGGTACGGTCCTTTATTGGTAGAATCGTTGATAATCATCGGAAACATCGACGTTTTCCTAAATAATGCCGACTATAGTAATAGTGATCTTGGGCAAGGAGTCATATAAGGCTGAAGAATTCTACGAACTCAATTTCTATGCCATTTCTTCTGTTCCCCAGGAATTTTGGAAGCACAAGCAGCTCTGGACTCGGTGAACAAGTTCTTGAGCTAAAGAAATGTCCTTAGTCTGTGAAAAAGTGGTTCGCTCTCTCCTAAACTTTTCCTGCCCTTGGGCTTACTGGGTGCTAAGCGAAAACTCTCGTAACCTGACTTGCCTTCTCTTTCTAAACCCAAATGTTTTATCTCACATATTTTTTATTACTATCATTTATCATTTTATATTTATCATTTATTTATCTTGTTAGATGAATAGTGCCTAAATGCATAGCGAACAAAGTCAGATTTATCGAATGGTATACTACCACACGCTTCCGGGCACACCTGTGGGTTTCTCCCTCACATCACGATTTGAATGGAAAGCACTTACTATTTAATCAAGCTGAGATAACGCAACCGCGAAGCATCTAGCAACCCAACAAGTGTGCATGTGGAAAACCCATTAGTGTCATGCCAAGCTATCTTCTAGAGGCTTCAATAAAGAAGAAATCATTGTCAAATGCGTAAGAAGCTGAAATACCGATTACGTGCTTTCAGGTTCTTAAAATATTCGGGGTTAATTGGTATAGCTATAATTTGTGGCTTATAGTATCTAGTCAACTGTGGCAGATTTGACGCCCGCACTGATTTCGCCAGATTTCACACATGTGACATAGCTGCACTACTCGCTTGCATACACGACGATGCACGAATGCCACGTCCCTCACAAGAAATGTATGCAGTAACTAGTAGCTATTGGAGTATCGCCAGAGAGGCTCATGGGGTTTAAACTGAGGCACCGGTGGTGCGAGTTGAAGTTCTAAAAGTTTATTGAAATTGAAGATGGAGAGCAGCCATGTGTTCAATGGATTCGAGGCACTAGTGGAGCGTCTTTGATTATAGAAATAATCAAAAGGATGGAGGAGTGCTTAAATTTAACGTGCATACCCGGCTGTTGCTGCACAGCTTCCCTTATTTTCTTTTACTGTTTTAGTCTCACACAGTAAGGGTGAACGTTGCGGTTCAGGAAGGTAAACGCGTTCAAAACAATACTAAGCCTATTCTTTCATGGTGAACGTTTCCTCGGCTCCTTCCCTCCCAAAAGCGCAATCTTTATTTTCCCTACTGGACTTCCTCCCACTCTTAAAGGACGAATTCACGATGAAAAAGCAACCCATTTCAAATTAACCTAGGGATGGTGAGTGGTACACGAAGGAAGAAGGAACCATAAGAAACGGCCCAGAACCCGAGAAAAGGTTCCCCTTCCTTACCCGTTGTTCGAGCAT